AAACTAAGTTACACAAACTGTCAAAGAAGCGGTCAACAAAGCTGCATACAAGCTATCCAAAAAGGCAATGCAAGAAATCTGGAAGAAAGTACAGAATGCAGAGGAAAACCAAGTTGCAAGCAAGCAATTTTTCATCATTTTCCAGGCCAACACCTTTTCAGAAATTAAAAAAGTACTTTAAGCAATAAAATATGCTTTCTTTATGGAGAGAGAGAAAGAGAGTAAAGTAAAACAGGTTTGCAGTTTGGCAGGCTAAGGAGATAGATAAATATAACAAGAACAAAGCACTGTAAAAGGGGGCAGTTCAGAAGAGAGAAAAAAAAGAGAGAACCACAAGCTTGTGAACAAACAAACAAAAACCTGCAATTATAGCAAACCTGCAAAACCGCTTGAGAATACAAGATTTCAAGCATAACAGCAAGCCTGCCTGCATAAAACCAGAAACCAACAAACCTGTGTTCAAACACAAGCAAGCCTACATAACAACAACCCGCCTGCACCAGAAACCTGCATAAAACCTCAAAACTTACAGAAGCAAGCCTTCAAGCCTATTCAAAACCTGTTTCAAACTTGCAAACCAACACAAGCCTTGCAGCCTGCCTGTATCCAAGCCTGCTTGTATCCAAGCCTGCCTTACCAACAACAAGCCTTCAAACTTGCTAAAAAACCTGTAAAACTTGCAAAACTCAAACAACAACAAACACTCTCAGAACTTGTTCAAATATAACATCAAGCCTGCATAACCTTCAACAAAAATCCCAGTTCAAACTACAAATACCAATAAACCTGCCTTCCTAAAATTTCAAGCAAACTTGCCTTCAATCCAAACCAAAACTCATACAAATTCAAACACCAAATCCACCAATAACACTAACAAGCGCCTCAGAACCAAGTTCATCATAGGCAAAACCATCAACATCAGAAAAAGTCAACAAAATCCAAAGAGAGGAAAAGTCAGAAGCAAACAAGCATCTCAGAACCAGAGTTCATCACAGAATAATCATCAAAAGCCAATGTTTAAGTAAGAAGAAGAAAGAACTCAGCATTCTAGGGTTTTCAGAAATCTCATCACTAAACATTCAAAGAGAAAGATACGAGGTACCAGAAAAGCTAGCATCACCATATCGCTCCCTCGCCCGGCCACCTGAGAGCGCCGCCGTCCAACCCTCCGTCTCCTCTCCAGCAACAAAACCCCAAGGTATTGATTCCCCTTCTTACTGTTTTACACCTCACATAAACATAAAACCATCCAAGATTAATGACATGCACGAATCCAAAACCCTAAAACGCATGAAAAAGAAAATCGGTACCTTTTTTTCCCATCGCCCTGAGCAACCGTGGAGAGAGGAGAGTGGAGGCATCGCTCCAGTAGCCAGGCATAGAGGGCATCAATGGTCCTGTTTGAGAATGGTGAGGGGGCGAAGAAGATGAGAAGGGAGCGGCGCCGTTTCAAACTGTGAAACCTAATTATGAGCCAAACAAACTGAAACCCTAACAAAACTTGTCAAATGCGTTTGGGCTTCTGCCCCATCAAAACCACTAAGCCCATAATTCTGGCGTGTATACCCCCCTCTTGTCCTCTTTCAATATATATTTTGGGCCAATCATTTTCCTCACAGCCCATTTAATTTCTTAACCTTTTTATACAAATCAATCCTTTTTTTATCACCTTATTTCCTTTTTTCATAACCTATTTTGTTAAGTAAAAAATAATATATTAACTTTTTGTACAAAATTTTCTTAATAGCTTTTAATATTTGTTACATTTAAAAGTTTGTAAATAATAGATTTTTTTTATCTTAAAACTTTTTGTTTAATAAATCTTTTTATATAAATTCCTAAATAACATTAACAAAATACATAAAAATAGGATGTATTAAGTTAATTAATTTTCTCTTTAAAACCCCTTTTTGTTTATATAACACTAACAAAAATACAAAAAATAATAAAAATACTTATTTTGCATTAGGTTAATATTTTGATCATCTGCAAATAATCATATGCATTTCACAATACTTTTGATTCTCTTTGATTCTTATACCTTGCTATATTTTTACATTGAGAATGCGAAGATTCGATTTGGTTGTAAATAATATTTGGACATTACTATTCTGATAAGACTCATCCCCATTTGTAAACATTTGTACCCCCATCCTCGGATACTTATTTGTAATAACTTAGACTTTAAATTCCCGAAATTTATCGCTTTCCATATACTGTATAGTAATTAGGGTTTGTATGCGAAGATTCAAAATTAACCGCTAGATAACCTAACACAAAGATAAAATGCATGAAAATCAATACACCATTTACACTTGCACCTCTAGGGTAACCTCGCTTGTTGCCTCAGAAAATGCAATCATGTCCCTCGAGTATGAGACACTCTAGCAAACGTCCCTTCGATAAACAAAGATCGTAGTCCCTCGATGACCCTCGATGTTGCCTTCGATAAAACGATCTCATCCCTTACAAAATTGCTAGAGCGTCTCACAAATTGCCTTCAATGATTGCATACGATGACCCGCGCCTGTCCCGTTAACATCCTAACGCAAGGTTGCTCATCAAACACAATGGTGAAACAACACTATTAAAAGGGTTAAAAACATGAGAAAGATCTTTGAGTAAAATTAGGGTAGATAGCTCTTAGTTACTTGATCAAACTTGCAAAACATCCTTGCCATTTTTCAAACACACATCTCCACACAGTTTCAAAACAAACTTTCAAAAACATTGAATTATCTTTTCAAAAAGACACACACCTTTGTATATACTCAAACAAGAGTCATTACAAAGGTTTCCTAGACAAGGCATTATTTTTTCAAAACATTTTCAAAACCACACACAAAGCACCATTTCAAACAATTGAAAAGCAAAGGCAAGTGATCTAAAAACAAGTAACTAAGAGCCCATGGATAACCATGGATGAAAAGGGTGCTAGCACCTTCCCTTTTCATAATCTACCCCCCGAACCCACGAAAACATCACAAAGGTCTTTCCTGTGCTTTTTGACCTTTCCTTAGGATAAAATAAAAAGTCGGTGGCGACTCTTGCTAAACCGAACAAGTGCGAAAACAAACGCAAAACCTCAAGTCAGTTCTCCCACCGTATCACAGATACGAATTTGAAAAAAACTTTACCAAAAGGGTGGTTCCGGTTTGGTACTTCCAGGCGTGAGATTGCTTGAATAAAGACTGATACGTGCTCCTGGGAACTTCTGGGCGTGGATGGAGGGCTTAGGTTAGACTGAAACAGGCTGGAAGTGTTTGTTTGGATTTTCACGATTTGGACAATTTTTGCCAACTTGATAGAGCTTCTTGTACAACATATATGCGTGTGTTTGGCTTGCCAAAGAGATGCACTTATAGCATAGAAGAAGGGGACAAGATAATAAGGAAAGAATCAAGCCCATAAGGCCATGGTTTAAAGTCATTATCACTATTTTGAAAAATTAACAAACTTGGTATTTCATGCCATTTTTCCATGTTCAATGTACCTGGTCAGGTTTTCACGAATCCTTAGGCCTCCAAGCAAGCCAAAACACTAGCCCACATGCCTAGGCCCATTTCCAAATATTTTATACCATTTATTTTATATTTACTTGAAATAAATTAAAATAAATATGTAAAAAATGAGTGGAAAATATAAGACCATTCCAAAATAAGATTATAGGTCTTCTATGACCTTAGGAAGACATTTAAACCTTAAAAAGTTAGGTCATTGACCCGAAAATTCCAGTTTGCTCAATGCACCAATTTTGAAATTTCCAAATATTTCCCAACTTGGGAAAACCATAACTTGCTAAATTTTTATCTCATGATGATGATCTTGGACTTTTTGCAAAGCCCGAGATGTCTACTCCAATCCCTCTTTTGATCAATTTTTCATTTGGAGATGTTATCTTGATGTAAAGGGTCTTGGAAAAAAATGGCTTTTGTTGACTTTTTAAAAATGACCTGTAATATATGAGCTCATATCTTTCAAATGGTGCATTTCTTGATCTTTGGGGATGAAAAGAAGTTGTAGGGACTTGGATTCTCTTCAAAATGAGCTTTGGTTGGGAAAAATGGATGAAGTATGTGAAAGTTATGCTTGGTCAAAGTTTGGTTGACTTTTCATATAGAAACCCTAATTTTCCATTTTTGACTTTTGATGAATTAAGAGTGTTTCTTGAGGAATCATGATAAACACTTGATCAAATGATGGATATCACTTCAAAATGTTGGGGTTGACCAAAAATCTTGAAGTTTGACTGTACATGGGCCACAACTGACTTTTGACCTAACATAGTTAATTTTCCAATACTTGAGCAATTGACTGAGCAAACTTGTAGTGCAAGGTATGAAATTTGTCATGGATAATCTTGAAGACATATTAGGACAATGGAAGACATTTGAGACCTTTGGAGCTCACACATCATGGTGAAAAATGAAACCCTAGTTGGAAGGTCAATACTTAGGAGGAGAATTTGTCTGATCAATTCTTGGTCAACCTTGGAAAATTGAGGATCTCTAGAATCATGTATTGAGTGAAAATGGGAAGGCAAATTTTGGGGTACAACACTAAGTATTCTCACTTGAGTCGTCTTATATATATATATATATATATATATATATATATATATATATATATATATATATATATATATATATATATATATATATATATATATATATATATATATATATATATATATATATATATATATATATATATATATATATATATATATATATATATATATATATATATATATATATATATAAACATAGTGATTACTAAAAGAGAAGGACAACTTCAAACATATCTCCATAATATTATTGTTGTCTTTATTCCAAAAAACTCATATGTTAAGTCTGACTATATGTAAATAATTCAAAACCCAAAAAAAAATATTTTGGATGTCCATTTTTATTTAGTTTATCTTACAATGCTTTTATTTATTTTTCTTACATACTTTTATTTATTTAATTACATATAACACAACCTATATAATACATGATTTATATATTCGAGAGAAGATTTACCATAACTTGGCGTGGCCTGCATAAAGCAATCAAAGGTTCAACTTTAGGCATTGTAATACCTATTCCCTCAGTCATGTCAATTTCTTCATTTCCAATTCTTTCCCACTCAAAACATTGAATCAAAGACGCTATTGCATTTGCCATAAAACGTTTTGCTAAAACAGATCCAGGACAAGCTCTCCTTCCAACACCAAATGGAAGCATATTGTAAATCTCACTATCTAACCCCCTTTCTTCAAACCTTTCAGGCACAAATCTTGTTGGATCCACCCATAAGTTAGGGTCCCTATGTAGAGTCCAAAGATTCACGAGAAGTATTGTCCCTTTTGGTACATCAAAACCACAAACATTGCAATCATTGGAGGACTCGTGTGGTATCAACATTGGAGTCACGGGGTATAAACGAAGTACCTCCATAATTACATTTTGTAAGTATTTTAGTTTTGAAGCCTCTGATTCATTCATAAGATGATCTTGATGCACAACATTGTTTATCTCTTCCCTAACCTTATTCATTATTTCTGGATGGTTGAGGAGAAGTGAGAGTGCCCATTCCATACTTCTAGCTGAAGTTTCAGAGCCAGCTATAAGCATAATCTGCATAATCATTTTCACATATCACGTGAATTGTTAATTAAATATTGTTTTTTAATCTAAGATTATGTACCCTTTTTTATCCTCCAAAAACTAACTTTAATTAATTATTGTTACAACTGTTAATTAAAATGCATATAAAGCCAGCATGATTATTCCATGGCAATAGCCATTTTTTAACACACGTATATTGAACAAATATATGATTATATCAATCTTAAACATGACCAAATCATCTAAAGGTGATAAATAAAATTTAAGTTTAGTACAAATATAGAAAGAGAGAAATATAATTTCTTCATATGTGTAGATCTAATCCCAACATCATTCAAAATTCACCTAAGGTAGTACATTGCTCTAATTTTCAATCTCATGTGTTAGCAAGCACTTCATTAACTCATCCTCAACAATAATTTATAACTCTAGTGGTTTACTTGAAACTTGTGGCACGAGTATTGGTGGATTCTTAAAATCCTATTTGATTTGGTTAAAGATCTTCTACTATTTCCATCTTCCACAAATGCACACACATACACTCTATTTCCTTTGTCTCCTTCAGCCTGAGCTGAGGGTAAAATAAAAGTCATCTTTCTACTCAAATTAGTGACTGTAAATATCACACTCCTAATTAACTCTAACCTGCCAGTAAAACTTAATAATCTAACACTCCAATGTTTGATCCTCACAACAATCTTGTCAACCAAGACCATAAAATGTTGCACAAAAATCTTCTTGCTAGTTAAAGGGATCCCAAGATACCTAAATTGCATGGGGTCTTTAGTAAATTAAGTAAGAGTTTTCATCTCAGCCTCAATAATATCTTCAACACCACCATAATATGCTTTACACTTTTTTGGGTTCACTGTAAGCCTTGTAGATCTTGAAAATTCAGAAAACTGAGTTTAATTGTATGTGTATCTAGCAACAAGTCATCTGCAAAATTGTTTGTGTATCTAGCAACAAGTCATCTGCAAAACCGAGTTTAACAATTTGTAGCTTTTCACATTTATAACGAAAATTGAAATTTGGAATCCCACTGAGCTTTTTCATAGACATGTGTTAGTATTCCATAACAATAACAAACAATAGAGGGGACATTGGACCCCCCTGTCTCAATCCCCTCTTAGCCTCCAAAAACTTTTTTCTCCATTTATCATGAATTTATATGATAATATGGTGACAGCCAACATTATTCATCTTATAAATTTTCTAGGGAATACAAGCTCTTTAAAAATAGTCTCCAAAGCACTCCACTCAACAATATCATATGTCTTTTGGAGGTCTATCTGCTTTATACATCCAGGCACTCCCCATTTCCTTGCATAACCTATGATGAGCTCATAAGAAAATAATATGTGATCATGTATGTGTTGTCCTGGTACAACAGTTACTCGAACTTGGTGTATAATACCCCTCAACACCTTCTCCAACCTTATAGTTATCACCTTGGATATGACTTTATAGATAGTGGTGCAGCAGGAGATAGGTCTATAATCTTTTATTGTTTGAGCTACAGGAGTTTTTGGAATTAGATTCACCAAAGTGGTATTTATTACCCTTTATACTCTCTCTCATCTTCAAAGAATTCCACTACACCAAAATTAAAATACTTCTTCAGAATGCTCCATGAATATTTGAAAAACTTTGCATCATAGTCATCCATTCCATGGGCCTTCAAATCTTTTATATCCTTTAGAGCTTTCTTAATTTCCATTTCAGTCACTTGCTTTATTAGAGAATTTATTTCCTCTAATGTTAACTATGTACCTTATCTCATGGCCATAATGTCGATTCCCTTAATCCTGCTAGTTATAGTTCCCATCAGACTACCATAAAAATTCAGGACCTCCTTCTCAATATCCTCTTGACTAGTCAACAAAGTTCCATCAGTCTTGGAGATAGAGTAAATACTTGTATACTTTTGCTTAGATTTCAAGGAAGCATAAAAGTAAGCATTATTCCCATTCCCAAGTTTTAGCCACTCAATTTATTGATTTATGCATAAGAACCCGCTCCTCTATAGTATTCCATTTTAATACCACTTATGTAAAGATCTTTGCTCTCTCTATATTTTGAACATCCATGAAATTCTAGTACAACATAACTCAGATGTCCTATGACATGTTGGGACATATGATCTGACAAAAATAAACATGCAAGGTATCAACAATATAAACAGAACTTAAAATCATAAACAACACACCGGAATTGTTAACCCAGTTCGGAGCAACTATCCCACTCCGGGGGCATACTAAGCCAGTGACAAATCCATTATGATAGTATAAATTCAAAGCTAAACTCCCATATTTACAACTTCTCACTTAATCACTACCCTTCATAGATTTCTATCTTAGGCTCGCCTAGATATGAGACCTTCCTCAATCCCTCTTTAATCACAGACAGGGATTGAATCAACACAATTCTGAACAAACAGGAAGGCACACTTACATAACAATCTCTAGCCAAAACTCTTGACTAAGACCACAAATTCTAGTTGCTCCAAAGAATCCTCCAAGAACAATACTCAACTCATTACTTCACAGGTTCTGAGTGAGAACAACAGTGACCATCTCACAATCTGAGTGGTTCACTTACACCAACTCCCCTAGAGAGCGGAAAAAAGATAAAGCCATGGACTTCTACCTCTTGAACTCGTGACTTTCCTAGGTTAAAAACACTTTTATTTATAACCTATACCCAACTAGATTTGGGCCTTCTAACTATAGCATATCAGCTATAACAAACAACAGTAACTTCTGCTATAATCAAGGTCTTCAATCAAATCTTCCTAAAATATCTCCAAATTTAGAAACTGTATATTCTTCAATATTCTTATTAGATTCTTCTTGACCTTTAAATCAACATTATATAGGATTGCATAATATTTCCCAAAATATTCTGCATCAGTTAAATCATAACAAAATATAATTGTCCACTTCATATCAGGCGCGATATCGTATGCTCCTTCATAGGATATCTTATTTGACATGTTGTTCCAGATGTTGAAATACTTCAACTCAACATGTCCTAACATAAAATAGTACTTCTTCCTTAACTTGTTCGTGTTAGCAAGTTAATACATCCTATCTAACACATTGCTGCTATATTTGTTTTACAAAAATTAATGCCAATCCTTAAAACTAAGGAACTTACAATCTCCCCTTTGGCAAATTTTGGTTAAAACAAATAAATAAAATTACAACCAAATTACAATAATAAACAAAAATACACCCATCAACAGTAGTCTTCAGCAAGTGTTGAACACTGCAACATAGCACTACAGATTCAGTCTTCAAATAAGATGCCATGACATCTTGTTCGACATCTTCTTTATCCAGTAATTTGAATGAGCTTCATTGCAGTATCAAACCCATCACCAAAGTGCAAAACCTTCAAGAAAAGGAGTAGAAATTCCTAAAGGCATTTGGTTTGGTGCACATGAGGAAGAAGATAGCTGACACTCCCCCTTAAACTAGGTAACATCTCTTGTCATAGGAGACCAATGGTGGCATAAGAGAATTCTCAACCACTCCTCGATCAACAGCCTCTAGTGGACCTAGCCAAATCAACTACCACCCCTAGTAACTCAGAACACAGGTCATAACTGTGTTCATAACTCAGATCAAAGGTCACAAAACCATAATAGGACACGGTAATAAGATGGAACATCTTGTCCAACATTTGAAAGCAACATATGGAACTGCAAATTCTAGATTGGCCATCTGAGTACACCCTTTCTCCCCCTTTTTCGCCAAAAATTGACAAAGGAGGCCTTCACAGAACCAGGCCCAGGTACAACTTAACCAGACCCGAACAAAACCCATAGTGATGATTAACAAAATCAAAAACTCACATGGAGATAGAGGACAGGAGAGACCTCTATATATAGCTGAGCAATTCTCATATGAATTAACGATCTTTAAATGAGACAAGCTTTCTTGGTCAAAGAGACGTTAATTGAGGGACAAAACTGCCACTTACAACAATGTGCACCGTCCAAGATAGCTTTGAACACCTTTAAATGCTTTAAATTGTTTTTGCTGAAAAGAACCAGTCTCAATTCATGCACATGCATGGTCAAACACACCTTCTTCCACATGTTTGATCATAAAGTGTTGTAACATCCCTTCTTGATCGCACAGGAAGCATGTCCTAATAATTTCCTGACATTTAGTCAGACATTATCTTCTTTTTTCCAGTATTGACCAACAAATCTTCATCCATGTTGTCTTCCACTGGATTCTAAGTGTTCTCCTTTCACTTAGACTTAGTGATACACACCAAGATATAAGAACATCACATTTGTGACATCTCTCAATAATAAAGACTCGAAGAGTCCTTTTAACATCTGTAGAGAAAAATAAATTCTCCCAGACATAACCATTAATCACCAAAGAGATATGTGAACTTCTGATCCACCAACTTCACATGGATAAGACCAACCATGCCTTGTCAAGATCACCAATAATTTCATAATGTCGCAACATGTTGTCTGACATCACATCCTCATAAGAGGCATAAGATCTCCGCAAGCTTGAATAACACACAACCAACATCTGTACCATTGCAACAACAATCTACAAATAAACATGTGACTCTCATTGTCATGGATAACCAATGCTCTAGTTGAAGATGAAGACTTAAGCACCAGATGACAAACTTCAACACTTCTCGCATATGATGAACCTCGACTCTCTCAGTAGAATCAAACCAAAGTCAGATACCATGACTTCTTCCAAACAACAGGACACGTCTGATCAGTTGTCCTTTCATAACCATACTTTGTATCATGACCTTTTGAATAGGCAGGATGTCATGCATACTAGGTGAGAAGTCACTCACAAACTCCAAAAACTCTTAGTTTGCTTAAAAGCTTTACTAAGATCCATATCACCAAACCTTTTCTAGAGTGACTTAAAGCATAAGAAAAACACCTCTTCAAAACACTTGGCTCGAACCTCAGTATCTGTCAGCAGTCTTCTGCCCTTACATTCACTAGTAGT